TTATTCCATTAGGGGTAGGACGACAAAGATAAGCTCTTGATCATACAAATTCAACTAAAAAAGATGATGAATGCATGACAACTAGTATTTAAAAATCGAGTTTAACTTTCCCTTTTGACATTTGTACAGGAAACTATATTTTTCATACTTGTGCTCCCTTATATTTTGGAATTATACCAAATAAGTAGTGTTTTCTATATTGGTATTACATTTTGGTTTGTATTGATTTCAAGAATTAAAGTATACTATTTACAGCACTTAAACTAACTAGACACAGACCCGTTCTACGAACGGTGATATAGTGATAGGAAAGCCTAAGATAAAATGCTTGTACCGGTACCTGATTCATTGCCGTAGGACCTCTGTATAGACAACATTGCTGGTATATGCACCATTTGGAACTCTGTCCTGGGCAGCAGGTCTGTTTGCATGTATCCTAATAGAGTCCCTGGACCTAACACGACTCTTTGCGACATATAATTGTCAATGTGAAAAAAATCGCCCTGTAAAGAAACCTCTTTCCTTTTCAAAGTCCGTCCCTGGGCTTTGTTGGCAGTCATTGCAAAAGCAGGTCTAACCGGAAATTGTTTCCGTAGCATATGGAAGGGAAATATGTTGTCTGAGGGCATGAGGGGAATCCTTGGGATGAAAAGTCTCTTTCCGGCATGTGGACCGCAAGCGACGACAGCATCAATTACATGTTGATGAAGGTGTTGAACCCTAGGCTTTCTCAGACTGAGAAGTCCTAGGTTGAACCACATATCGAGTCCTGTTGCAGTGGCTGTTTGTGGGATCCAAATTTCTCAGCAACATGACAATGTCAGTTTGTAAGGTGGCATACCTGACGGACATAGAAAATTGATCAATTCGATGGGGTATTGGTGTTCATTTTCTTCCATCGAATTACTACTCCTCTGGACTTTTTCTTCTCCGGAAAAGGACTGCATGATGAGGATATTGATTCTGTCTACTTCTGTGTTGGTGGGACAGATGATGCAGTGGGAAGCCAGCCAGTCAGGATTTGTGTTATACTGCAAGTTACCGAAGACAAAATTTATCAACTCTCGTTCGCTGTTCACTGTGATGTCATCGGTCGGGCAGTTTTATCGCAAACTCCCCGATTTGCTTGCATACGTTGTGTTTGCCATCACCAATGTTCAGTAGACAGTTGGAGAAATCAACAGTCTCACCTGTAAGCAAAATCCTCATGTTTCTTGTCCGTCTGAGCACATTAACAGGCTCCCACAGATATGATGATTTCAGGGTTGCATTGACTATTTGTGATCTTGAGCCATGGCGAACTACTGGTAGTATTTGGCGCCAGTCACCTGACATCAGCACAGTTAGCCCACTCAACAGAGAGTTATTCCCACATATGTCTTGAAGCGTTTGTTCTATGGCTTTAAAGATGTGTTTGTGGTCCATCGATACTTCATCAATGATGAGCAGCTCTGTTTGGTGTAATAAAGTGACACTGGCATCTCGGGGACTCACACTGCACATGGACTGTTCGTTCACACACAGAGGTATTTTGCATCTGCTGTGTAATGTTCTGCCATTTGAGAGCAGAGTTGCTGCAATGCCTGACAGAGCTGTAGCAAGGGCGATCTTTTTAAAGGAACGGACAGCCGCAAGAATCAGGTTTATAGTGTGGGATTTTTCCTGTCTCCCCACTTGCCTCCAGGGCAAATATCTTGCTTTGCTTCTGTACAACTGACTCTATCACAGCATCATACACGACTCTTTGTTCTTCATTAAGCTTTGGGTACTCTTGACCCTCCTTCTCTCGCAGGTTTTTTTGTGTCAAAGTTTAACTCCTCGTGGACAATTCTTGGTCGCTCTCCTTCAACGTGACTGTGTTCTGCAGGTGGCAGCTGAAAGTCTCTATGCAAATCCGTTCCATCATTATCAAGAATGTGCTGAAATTGTAACAACACTTAGTTCTCAATCTGCGGATTCAACTCTGTGACCTTGTCTCTCATCATAATGTCCCGGCACAGTTCCAATTTGTGCTTGTGCCAAAATGAAAGAGGATCAGCTGGGCGACAATAGATGAGAATGGTTGTAAAGGCAAGACATAACTGGGGTCCAAAACTGGGAGATGCTTCATACGTTGCTGCATTCTTCTCAGTGTCACCATCAAGCAGTCCAAGTTGGTTGCATGCGTCTTGATAAGATGTGCTACTTGATCCATTTACACGATAAAGCACAATATGAAACAGAAGTAGGCCCAAGTCCAAAAAAACTACAACTAATATTTCGTGGGACTATAGAAGCAGCTGAAATAGAACTATGTGGCATACCCATACGTCTAAACACAAACGGCACTTCTGTTCTTGCTAACTACAGCAAAAAAGTACAAATCTGTCGCACACACACGACAAAACACAAACCGCACTTGTGTCCGTGTTAACTACTCCAATAAAGTAGAACTCTGTGGCACTCACACAACAAAGCACAAATCGCACTTCTGTTCTTGCGAACTACTCACTCGCACAACAAAGCTTGGGTTTGAAACGGAAGTAGTCCCCAGTAAAATATGAAATGGCTAAAGGCAGAGTGAAAACATCAGAGATCTTCGATTTACAGGAACAACCATCAAACCTGAAAAATAAAAAAAAACTTTGAAAGTATGCCCACGTAACCCTTTGGGGCAATTCTTGTCTGAATCATATTTTTGTAGATTTTATGGGCACCTGTGTAAAAAGTTTTTTCTGACCCCTCAAACGGGCTTAGCTCCATTATAATAAGAAGCTCCTTCTAATCCTTTTTAAAGTAAGTCTACTTTTGGACATTAGCCTAGTAAAACAACTGTGAAAACCCTGGACTCACTGAAGAAAAGAAAGTGAACTTAATGTTGTTTTGTAGCCTGGTCAATTGTCTTTCAACAGAGTATAGTGATAACTGCAACAAAATCCTTTTCTAAGGTGTTTTTGGACAACTTTCAATTAGACTTACTTCTGGCCACTAAAACTGATCCCCAACTTGTCTGCATCACTGGTGCAGGAAAAGAACATTACAATTTGTTCATCTTGTGACGAACAGAGCCAGTGTTATGTTGAATATGTAACATAAAAGAGTACACTGTTTGAAAAAGAAATTACCTGCCCATTGTGAAAAAGATCGAGCTGCTAGTCAACCTTAACTTCACATGGCCCAGAACCTTACTGATGGCTCTTTATTTTTTTTTAAACCGAAGTGACTAATGTGCCATTTTTTTCATAGGATTGGGGTTAGCCCTCCATCTTAGTCATAGCGCTAGCCTAGGGGTTAAGTAAGGTTCAGCCATTCATTTCGTCTTTACCTTAGCGTTAGAGGGTAGAGTTAGGTTGAGCCGTTCAAATGATTTGAAAGTAACAGATATGCCCAAATTGTCACTGCCAAAAATTTTTTAAGGAAGAGACATTACAAATAATTTATGCGCTACTCAAACCATTAGATCTATACAGAAAATAATGAGCCATTCTTTTATTTTGCTACAAAATTGAAGGCATGTGACACTATTAAAATCTACAATATAAACAGCCAAATTTACTGTAGTCCAATAGCTTTACATTCGTCCTCTATGTGCCTCATTGCCCCCCCCCCCTCTCCCAACCACCCATAGATGATATGTAATGAAAACAAACAGAAATCACTGAACTACATAACAGGAGCAGTGTTGAGTTGTTTAAATTCGTTCGTGCAATGGAAAATGTGTACCAAGCACAGATTGTATGCTGCCCATATAGCAAGCTCAGCACTAATCGCAGTCCTTTGTCACTAATATATCCTATACATTCATCTTCATCAATATTCAATGCCTTCCATCCCTGGCAGGGTGTGGGCCACAAACAAGCCCCTTCTATTTATCTCTGTCCTGGGCCATCCTTCCAAGCTCGTTCCAAGCGAGCTTCATCTCTCTCATGTCCCTTACCACTCATCTCCTCCATGTTTCCCTATACATTAATACATCATACATTGTAGACACGAACAAGGTTACCCTATCTTTGGTTGCTCCCATCCGTCATCATCCCATAAAAATATTATTGCTGATACAATACTATGGACGCATACAGGCTTATGACTGTTCGTGTTTAATATCTTAAATCAGTGAGTCAAGTGAGTGAAACTAGTACCTCAGATTAGTAGATCTGGCTTGGATTTTAAGTTGTTTAAGTAAGTATTTAAACAAAAAGGGGGGAGGCTAAATTGTAGCTTTTAGATATTATATTAATTAACCAATATGTAGGCTTTGATCAGACCAGGCTCCTAATCTTTTCGAATATTTTCTTCAAAACATAGATCTGGATCTAATCTGCCTATCTTCTTATCAATCATATTTTATTCTTACCAGTGAAAGGAAAGGATGGTTCCTTTGGACGCTTTCTTAGTGCACTGATAGACACGTCATCCTTTCTGGTCTCGTTTTCTTCAGTCTTCCACTTCCAGACTAATCAGATGTTTGCTGATGATGAATAAACTGTGAGAAAGTCTCTAAGGCGTTAATCCATAAAGGGACTAGAGGTTTCACATACTTGCACTTTTAAGAGAATCTCTTTGGATTCAAACACAATGTTTAAATCTAATAAAACACTTTCCTTAATAAGAGCAGGGACACGCCCACTCACATGTTAACAAACTTCTTTGCCAACACGAAAATGACAGCCAATAAACTCAAAAGCTGTCGTGTCACGTGCCCTCGTACGGACTCTAGTTTAAAAAGGAGATAACTCTATTGGCTAGGCCTATAATTTCTATTTCATTGTCCTTATACGGAAGCAACTAGGGTGCAGTTCTAAGAATCCAACGGAGAAGCGGAAAATTTCTGAGAATTATGTGAAGTAAAAGGGTTTGAATAGCTTTGGCTTTGTCATTTTAGCACTGTTTCTATCAAGATGTCTCAAAGAAAGTCATTCGCTTGGGATTACTTTGAGAAAATAAAAGACGAAAAAAGCGCCCCCAGCAACATCTGCAAAAGCATAAATTCTCAAGCCTCTTTATTCGATTCCCGAGTCGACATTAACGTATTTTTATCGAGTATCTCGTTCTTTCCGCTAGGATGTATCCTTCTCAGCCCTTGTTAGCCCTGACTGACACGTCTGAAGCCTGCCTCCTAAAAGATCTAAACTGTGTCAACGGGGGGGGGGGGGGGGGGGGCATAAAGATTTTTTGATCTCGCGTCATTTCACCGCAACGTTTCGGAACTCATAATTAGTTCTGAACCCTTTTCTTGTTTGCTATTACCTCCCGTTATTTTTACTCAAGTGCAATAAAAATTGAATAACAGTAATACAAAATAAAAAGATGTGTTTGATATAGATGCCGTTAATAAGTATTTCAGTTTAGTTTTAGTAAACACTATTACGCACTTGCAACATAATTAGGCGGCAAGGTTAATCGATATTTGATAGGAAAGAAGGAGTAAACCACACCAGAGCGCTCGCCAACTACCCGCTTGAAATGTTCGTCAATGTTTGATAAAATGGTATAAACGAATGGAAATTCAATTAGAGACTCAAATTACGGCCTGTCAATTCGGCTGCGTCAGCGCAGAACCATGTTTTTATTCAGATACATCTGCACCAAAAGGGTTTGGAAACGAAAGCTTGGGGGGGGGGGAGAAGGTGGGAAAATCTCCTTACACAATTCAAGTTCATGGCAGCCTGGTTAAGGATTTGAACTTGGGCCATCCGAATCACAGTCTTTTTTAAAACTAAAGAGATAATTGTTTACCCCCAAATCGATCATATTTAGTTAACTTACGAGGCGGGTCGCTTCGACCGTGCCTGTTACAGCTGACCCAGGCTGGAAAGGATACGATGTACCAGCAGAAAAACCGAGTTCATGGATAAAAATTCTCCACAAACAGGAATCGAAATCCCATCTCCTCTGTGTGACGGTGGAGCGCTTACTCGCTACACCAAAGACACCGGTATGTTCAATTGTGAAACGAAGTGCGTCAAGGGAGTAATCTTTTTAAAAAACCTTCTTGATTTTGGTGTGTTTTTTTAATGGACGTTCATTATTCTATACTATCGAAAATGAACGTTAAGATTGTAGGGTCTGCATCCTGTATAACCGTAGGCCCTATGGTGTTGGAAAGGATTTTTACCCATATACGTTACTCATACCTATTCATGGGTGTTGAAATATCTAACTAAGGCCAGAAATTTCTGCTTTACTTACTTACTTTTCTTACTTGTCCACTGTGTTGGGATCACTGCAGTCAGAACATGTCCATCTCTGCTCTCACCCCCCTCTTCAGGATCCATCCCAGAGTCTGTCTGCTTAAAGTCTCCATAAATTTGTGCTTTACTTCTACAGAGGGCAAATGTGACTCGAGTCAGACCAATAAGTTCGGACCCCAGTGTGAGCACACGTGCCGCTGCATAGGTCGGCAGGCGTCGCTTTGCAGAGAGGACGGTATCTGTTCTAACAACGATTGTCAGGATGGGTATTTCGGAACAAGATGTCAATACCGTAAGTCAAACCATAAGTCTGTATTTCCTGACCTGAATGTCTCCTTGAGAGTAAATGGCGAGTACAGAACTACAGAGTTAAAGAGTCATAACATTTTATTTCTGTGACTTGAAAAGAAAACAAAACCACATCATGCTCGTCAAGTGTTGACATTTACGTGGTGCACTGCCGCCCCGTCCCCCTCTATCCTTCTTTCACCCAACCCACCCCCTTCCACAACGTCCACCCTCTTCCCCTTTTCTCCTCAGAAGGACACATTTCGGCAACATATTATAATACGATGGCGGGTGGGCTCCGAGACAGACACATGTGAGCGTGGAATTGGAGAAAGAACTCGCCAACAAAACTAGACTTTTTTTTAGCTGAAAAAGAAGAGTTAACGGAAAAGTCCAAAAACAGCAACATCCACGAAGCTACAAGAAAAGTTGTGTGTGTTTATGTTCAATGGTTTGCTCTTCTCCGATAGATTTCATAAAACCTTTCATACATTTCAAATAAAGTTCCTGCAAAATTCGCTACTGGTCAAGCACGACAGCTCACCACTTTTTGTATGACCTTGATCCAAGTTGTAAAACACCAAAGGTCAAACGGTTCAATTGCTTCTATCCCAATGAATCCACCCATGATCTTTGTACTGGGCTCAGGACTAGCGATAAAAGTAAAGTCTAGCCCTTTCCCTTCCCCCAAGCCATCATAACGATGATAGCCTGCTACAGACTTCAACATAAGCTAAGGACAACTTGCAAACACTCTGAGTGGTCTGCTTGGGTCGACCTGCACCTGGGGGTTCTTGGACTGATCCAGTGGCGTGATGGCGCTGTCTCAGGCTGACAATGACAAAGTGTGTGACAATGCAAGCCTTCTGGTGACTTCTCGGGCTCTGACTCTATCCTGCAGCCATGCCATAGCTTTGGCACGATCAAAGTCTCTCAGCTTTCGTCTCGGCGGCACGTTGTTGTGATACTGGATTTTGCGCAAACGGCGGCTTATATTGCCACTAACGTGAGCACAGTTCGAGACGATACATCCGTTTATGACGTGCACCATAAATTTTAACTGAGGAATGTCCGTGGTGTCGCACACAAGTCGATAAAAACAGCAAATTTAGCTAAAATTCGAGAAGGATTTCCTTGCAGTGCGTGATGGGTTAGCCTCTTCTTGAAGCCTTGCAGTACGCATTGGTACCCATTAACGCTTTCAGAGCAAAATATTTTGAAACATTCCTTACCGTCTTTTTTCGGGGGGGGGGGGGGTTGTAATCAGGACCGCCTGTCAAGGTCGTCCTTAACTTATGGTGAAGTCTGTATTTCCAGACTCTGTATTCCTGTCTGGCTTAGCTAAAACCCCACAGTGACCGCCACGGGGAGTCAAGCGTTTCAAATTGAACTGGGAAGGGGGGGGGGCTTTACTTTACTTTTACACCTCGTTCTATGTCATGTATCTCTTACAACATGTTTTTGTCACTGGCTATAGGTCTCATGTTTTGTGAATTATTCTCTCTGATTCTCTCATTCTGTTTCACTTTCCATCAACCTCTATCTCTGTCTGTATCTCTGGATGTCTTTTTATCTCTCTGTTTCTCTCTACAATTCCATCTCTGTCTGTTACTCTCTACTCTGTCTGTCTGTCTGTCTGTCTGACTGTCTTTCTGTCTGTCTGCTTTTTTCTCTCTCTCTCTCTCTCTCTCTCTCTCTCTCTCTCTCTCTCTCTCTCTCTCTCTCTCTCTCTCTCTCTCCCTCCCTCTTAGCTTTATTAACCACAGTATGTGCTTGATGAAGCCCACGTGGGACGCTCACTATTAAAAATAATTAGGAAACGACAAATTTATGCAGTTTTTGGGACACCTGAATAGACATAAAGGTCTTGAACATCTAGCTCTCACTTGCAAAATTGAAGGCAAACGAGGAAGAGTAAGGACCAGAGCAACCTACTTCGGGAACCTAAACAAATTAATGGGTAACGGGGAACGATCAGGGAAACGAAGCTTTCTTAAGAGCATCCGAGCAAAGGAATGAATGGAGATCCATGATCGCCGATGTCTGTCGCAGATCTGGCTCTGAGTGATAATGTGGGCCTCGTCTTCACTGATCACTGTTTGAATTCGCTTCCTACTCTTCCTCCTTTCTCTCGGACAGGGAACATCGCCGCCAACCCAACCAACCCCAGGTTTACAGATTTCAATGTGGAGACATGCAACCTTAACGAGATGTCTGAAGTGTCCATCTACGCTGAAACGACCCCTTTCAACTTCACCTGGCTCAGAGTGTCCGGAGACTTGGGTAAGATTGGGCTGGTCATTTCTAAATTACCGTAATCCATTAATGCATGACCTCTTAAAATTTGATAAAAATTTGGACACAACATACCCTTGGGCGCCAAATGAAAAGATCCAGGTTTCTTTGGAGTCAATTGAAAAAAACTTTCTTACTTTTGAAGCCGCTGAAAAATTGATCCATTAATGGAACGCTACGCAAGAGCGGGTGCGTGTTTTGGGGGGCTTTGCTATAAGCAATAATACGCTTTAGACACGTTAAAATTACAACATAACCGAAAAGTAAGGTGGTGAAAAATACAGTATTATGTGCTTAGACACAATATCAAAGCACAAAATGAGTATTTGTTGCGAAAATAAAACATTTGCAGTAAAAATGCAGGTTTTAAAACAGGTACTCCTGCAACGGAGACATATTTTTCCCTCAAATTTTCAGAGTTTCTGAGGGTGATGAGTTTTGTTTCTTGTTTTAGTCCATTTCAAAGCTTCCTTAGGCTTTCTTCTTCTTCTGTTGATGCTGTTTTCAGCAGTTTTCATTCATTTATTTATGTTTTAAGGTGTGTGTTTCTAAGGGTTTTTTCCTCTGCCTTTGTCGCTTGTTGTTCTGCAGAGTTTGCTTTGCTACTCTATCAACCAAAGTGCTCTTTACAGATATTGTTAGCAACTAGTAATAAAAGTACCCGTTCTACGAACGGAATAATAATGAAGAATTATTTGGAAAGTTAAGAAGGGGAAAAAGACTGAAAACAGAAAAGAAACAAAACATTTAATATTTTACCTTGAATGTATCCATGTAGCACCCCCCTCTTGACTGCCTCTAGGGGTAAGACTTCTTCTCCCTCTTCAAAGGCGTGGCATTTTCTTCTAAAGTTCCAGCTCAATCACTTTTTTTTTTTAAAGAGTTAGGCCTACATGCCAATTGTTGCTTCCTAGAAGATCCTAATCTAGATTCTAGATCTAGCCTAGATCTCGAAGGATTATAAAGAATGAAAGAAGGAGCCTTGGCCCATAGATAGATCTAAGTTTAGAAATTCACATTTTTAACAACCGACAGGCGTCACAGATGGCCTAAATTTCTAGATCTATTCACAGTAGGAAAAATCCACTTTCAAGAATACTTTCATGTTTCTTGATCTCGATCTAGATTCACATACAGCCTAGTTCTATACTCTAGATCTATTCACAGCAGGAACAAATCCACGTTAAATACTTTCATCATTCTTGATCTCGATCTAAGATTCACATAGATCTAGCCTAGATCTAGATCTTAGAATCTATAATGCTCAGCAAGAAAAATCCATTTTCAATATTCAATAGGTTATCGAAATATCACAGATCTACATTATACTTTCATTTCGTGATTCTTCTTGATCTCGATTTATCTCGATACATTAAGTAGGCCTACGGTAATTTAGACTACTCTTTGCACTTTCGACGACACCCTCCCTGTCACTCTCACCACCCTCCCTCTGGTAGTGCTTTCTGACCTTCCCTCTCTCTCTCTCTCTCTCTCTCTC